CAGGAGAAGCAGCAGCAGCACCACCTTCCCTTGGGAGCTTGATCTCAGGCCCCACCCCCAACTACTGAACCAGAATCTGCATTTTAACAAGACCCGGGGAGAGTCATAGGCACATTAAACCTTGAGAAGCACTTCCCTGGAACTGATTCAGGCCAACATCTTCACTTCACAAACGAGGAGCTGACACCCAGAGGGGAGGCGGTTGGCCCAAAGTCACATAGCTGGTTCCAATCCTGGCTTCACCACTTACAGGGACTTTGAGTAAGTCACTTAAAAATTCACTGAATCTGTTCCCTCTTCTGTGATAAACAGATAATCTAACCACCTCCTGGTGCTTATGTGACGATCGAACAGGACAGCATCTAGACTGGTGACAGGCATATCGTACGTGCTCAACAAATGTTAGCTGCGGTCCCAACTTACTGTTCTAGCACCACTCCTCATACCCCCCATATGTGGCAGTTTTTTCTTAAGATGAGAGTGCAGGGACGGGACCTGGACCCAGCCTCCTGCAGTTACGCTCCATCTGACCTTGAGCCAATTCCTGAATTAGTCTTTGGTTCTTGGCTTCAGTTTGATCATTCGTAAATGGGTATGATGATAGCACCTACCACACAGCGTTATTATGAGAATTAAATGAATTAATACATTTAAGGTCTTCCAGCAGTCTATGGCACGTGGTAAACGCACAAAATGGATGAATGGTGTTTCCAAAATGTGCAAAAGAAGGCTGGTGTGGGTGGAGCTGGGCCCCAGGCAGGTAAGCGTCTCTCTCAGAGGGAGCTGCTTCTGTTGTGCTGCATTGACCCAACGCAAGTCCCCAGCGTGCTTCTCTGGCCCCTGGGCAGTCTGCACCCCGGCCGTGTTTTTCCTCCTCGACTATGAAATGAACTTACTGGGCTCCCTGGTGCCCCCATCAGGGACCACCGAAAGGCCAGGCCAGGCTTGTGCTGGGAAGGAGAGGACTGGGGCAGCCCATCAAATCTCTGAAGCGCCGAGAGAGGGTTTAGACCTGCTCTGGATGACTCTAGGAGGCAGAAATAGGAAGCTCCGGGAAGTCCTCTCTTATCATTAGACCTGTTCCGAGGCAGCTGCCGGGCGGGGCGCTGAGCTCCGGGCAGCGAGGCGGTTGCCCCACCGGCGGGTAGCGGCGGGGCTGGGAGGCCGGACCAGCCCGCAGGTTCTCAAGCCTGGCGGAGCTTGGCCGCCGGCATCACCGGAGGAGCCTTTCAAATGCGGATTCCCAGGCCCCGCCCGCGCCAACAGAATCGGAATCTCCAAGGGTGGGGCTGGAAATCCACTTTAAAAGGCTTCCTTCCCGGACGCTCGCAATGAGGGGCGGGCCGGAGTCCTCCCGGAGTCGGCCGAGCTCCGCGCTCCGCCCCGCCTACCTCCGCCGCGCTCACCCGGGCCGGGTGCGGGCGCCGGGCCTCGCTGGATTCCCGCCCCTCAAAGAATTTCCGTGCCCTCGATTCAGACATCACTCCCACACCTACCAGCAACTCCCTAAGGACCTCTGTCCTCGCTCCGCCCGTCTGCCCCCTCTGGTCTCCCTGTCCCTCCCCGGCCGCTCAGGGGACCCAAACAGGTTGCCGGAGGGCAGACCGGGGCGGCTGGGCCTGCCTCCCCTCAGAAGGGTCAGCTCTTTCCCGCCACACCCTAAAGGCCCAGGGCACCGCTCCCACCACGTGCATCCTCCTGGGGGGCGCCCTGGACCCCGTGCTCAGAGATCGCAGAAACGGGAAAAGAAACGCCGGAATGGACGTAAATATCCTTGCTCACCGCTCGGTCGGGTCCGCGGTTTGGTGTCGCACAGGCCCTGTGCGCAAATCCTCCACCGGAGAAGCCAGCGTCGGGGAAGAGTGTGCGGCGCGCGAGCCAAGCGTCCTCGGGGCGCACGGGGCGAGGAGGGCTGAGACGCGCCCACCCGAGCGCCTGCCTTCGCCCCGACCCCACAGCACCACCTGGCGGCTCCGGGCACAGCGCGAGCGCCGCCCCTCCGCCCAGCCCGTCCGTGCCCAGAGGGTGCTTCCGGGCCCAGCCGCACCTGGCTGACAGCCCCTCTGCCTCGCCCCGGGTCTCACTCCCGGGAGGCGCGTCCAGGCCCCTTCCCCACTGCGGGGCTGCCCCGTAAGAGCCGTGGTCCCCAGCAGGACGGCGGGTGTGGCTGGGGCCGGGAGGGTGGGGCGCCGAGAGGCCCGCCCGAGCAGCCAGCAGAGGGCAGCCTATTCCAGCTTTGGGCCCGGAAGTCTCCTATCCTGGCGGCTCCTGGGGGCCCCTCCCAGGACAGGAGGAGGATCCACCTGTGTTTGTGGAACCATCCATCCATCCTCCCCACACAAACCTTTCCCCAGCACCGCCCCCGGCCACACCCTGTGCAGGAGCTAGAGGGGATACCAGGTGAAGGAGACCTTGGCCCCGCTTGGGGAGCTCCCAGCCAGCGCCCACCTGGCCGGCCTTCTCCTTTGGACTCCTCCCGCTCTTCTACCCGTCGCCTTGCACTTTCCTATTGCTCTGCTCGTTGACCTGTCTCATACACGCACAGGCCCCATTCCCAGAGTCAGGGAGGGGGCTCTGTCAAGGCCACCGTTGGATCTGCTCATCTGGGTAACATGTACGCAGGCCTTGTTAAAGCATCTGCTTCTTGTTGTTTGCAAAATTCAGCGGGGCATGTTTCAAGGAGGGCTGAAGCAGAGAAGCCCGGCCCCAGAGCATCAGACAGGTATCTCCAAGATGAAGGACATAGCGACCCCTCAAATGAGCCTATTTCCAAAACAATGTGGCCTTCTGTGGGCTAGGCTGTGGGGGCCCCAACAATGTGGAAGGCTGAGCTAGGCCCCTCCACCCCGCCCCTCCTAGGCAGAAGCGAGCTTTCTGGATTTGACACGCAAGTTCCTCTGGCTGAGTTTCCCTCTCTCGCTGGGGCTTTCCAAGCTGGGAGAAGTTCTGAGCACAATTTGGGGGTCTGGCTGAGCCCCTCAAAGTCCAAAGCCCACATGTTTCCCATGCCCAGACGTGGGGGAGGAGGCCAGACAGGGCTAGGCAGTGGCATTTGGTTGGTCAGGTCACTTTGGGCAGTGTGTTCAGTTAGAATCGATACTGAAAAGTAACCGGTCCTTGAGAAGCAGCAGGAACGAACCCACTTTGACTCATTTCCAGCCGGCCTCCTGCTAATTTCACTGTCCCATCAAGTTCCCTCCTGGCCCGGGGGAGAGGCAGTGCTCCTCAGACAGGAATGCAGGAACGGACACCGAAGTTTTGGTCTAAACAGCTTTATTGACCAGATGAGAAATCAGCTTGAATATGGCCCGTGCCTGTCACCGGTTCAGTCACCAGCCCCCGCCCCCTCCCCCACTGCTCCTGACTTGGGCCCTGGAAGGGACGGAGTGATGGAGTGATGTGGCCAGAGAAGGGTCCCTGGAGAAGAGTGGAGTGGAGGGGGCAGGGTGTTGGGTTGGAGGGAAGGTCCCGAGGACTGGGGACAGAGGGAAAGGTGTCTGGATGAAGACTGAGGCTGTCGGCCTCCCTCCACATCTGAGGACCAAGCAGGCGTGGCAAGAACAGCCCTGAGCGGTGCTGGGACAGGCAGGAGCTCCCAACCGCAGCCTCAGGACCCAGGGGCAGGCCCAGAGCTAACTCCCCGGAGGTTTGGGCCACTGATACATGTGAATGTGTCCTGGGGGTGTTTCACTGGGATCCTCCCCCTGCAAGCCTGTTTGAGGAGGTCAGACAACATTCTGACTTTGGGGTCCTCAGACCTGGGTTGTTCCCCTCCAACTCCAAGTGGGGGGACGCCAGTGGCACGAAGATGCACAGGCAGGTGGCCTAGAGAAGCGGGGCCTCCTACAGTCCTGCCTGCATCCTCTCTGCCTCCCACAGCGACTCCCCAAGCTGACACTCTTTTTCTGGAGGGATACCAAGAAGCCCACCCTCTTTCTCACAGAGGAGAATGTCTGGGATCCAATAAACCCCAGCCTTCCTCCGCCCCATCTGGTCCCACTGCCTTCCCCCTCCAGGCCTGTTGCTGCTGCTCCCGTGTCTCCATGATGGGGGCCCAGGCGTCCTGGCCAGCTGATGACAGACACTCAGCCCAACAGGCTGGGGAACGGAGGGCTGCGGGGTGAGGTGTGGGAGCCAGGGGGGCAGCCTGGGCTCACCCGGATCAAAACCATGCCATCTCCTACTGGGGATGCCAGGAAGGGGGAGCCCCTTAGTAGGTGGGACCTCCGGCAGATGCCCAAACCAAAGGGAGCCAGACGACCAAATTTAAGTCATTAGTGGATGCGTGGCAGGGCTGAGAGAGAGAAGGCATCCTAGAGGCCTCCAAGGCTGCTGGGAAGGGAATGGCGATGAAAAGCGCAGGAGTGGGCAGAGTGTGGCGGGCGCTGGTGGCCTCACTCGGAGTGGACCAAGGCCCCAGCTCCTTGCCCAAAGCCAAAGCCTTTGGGCCCGAAGTTTTTAGCATAGCATCCTGCAGAGAGAGGAGAGAGGTGAGAGCCTGCTCCCCTGCCCCAGCCACACCGGCCACCCTCCCACTGGAGATGCCCCACCCCGAGTGCCTGGCCAGACCTCTGGCGAAGAAAGTCCACCGGTGCCCCTCACCTCTGCAGCACCCCCAGCCCCAGCAGTGAGGAGGCTCCAGCTGTAAGAGCTTCGTGCTGGCAGTTAGCAGGCCAGGTTCTAGCCCCATGCCTGCCCCGATTTGCCACATGCCTCTGGCCAAGTCGCTTTCTCTCTCTGGGCTTGTTTCCTCATTTGTAAAATGAAGGAGTCACACTAGATGCTCTGGCTCTCGGGTCCCAAGGCCAGGAATTGGCTTACATTCAGCAAAGCCATGACTTCTTAGGGCCCCTGCCCCCCTGGGCCCCATGAGCCTCATTCGTAAGTGAAAGCACCCACCTTTGCAGTAAATCTCGCCATCCTTGTCCGCCAGGGTGGTTGACTCAAGGCCTTTGCCACACTTGGCACATCGGAAGCAGGACTTATGCCAGGACTAGGTGGGGAAGGAAACAGGTGACTGCCAGGTGACTAGGGTTCCCTCCCCGCCAGCGCCACTCCCCTTGATATAACCATGAAGGAAGGGCCAAGGCACTTCCAAAGTCTGCTCAGCTGGTACCGCAGACAGGACATGGCCTGTGGTGCCGGCCGTGGAGGGAGCAGGCCAGGGACCACACTTCACACCATCTTTGATGTGGTGTTGCAATGGCTCGGTGGTTAGTGTCACCAGCTATGCCACAAAAGGCAGCCGAGGGGGTGGGATTACTGCCAAGGTAGCTGTTCCCATAGGCGGGCCCAGACGAGCCTTCTCCTGCCCGTGGGTTAGTGGTGTGAGCAAGGGCTCTGGACTCTTCCTGGTACTGCTACTTACTAGTCGCCCAGCCTCCATGCTTTCTCAGGTGGGAGGCCCGCCTACCTTGCAGAATGGATGTCAGGACCAGGTATTAAACGCATAAGGCCCAGCCTCAGAGCGGGCGTGTGTAGTGGGGGTTCTCCTGAACCAACCGGGCCTCTGAAATTCTAGAACTGGGTGTTTCATTTGCCCAAAGGCCATCACCTCTCTGGCAGTGGGTATCTCTCTCACTAGGTAGCCGTGAGCATGAAACGATGTCACCAGTGTAAAGTGCCTGGCATGGGGCCTGGCACAGGGGAGGCTCTGAGTCAACGTTTTCCAGTGTCACTCTGGAAGGAGAAAGGGTCTATGAAATGCATTTATCCTGGCAGGAAAAGGCCTGAGGAGTGTGGTTTCTCTGGAGGCCACAGAAGGCCCCACAGAAGGTTCAAAGAGGCACCCCAAGGCAACACAGGGCAAGCCTCCCAGGGACACGTGGGGCCCAGGTTTGTACACGACGACGGGACCTTTCACAGACAGACTCCTCGGCAGCCAGCTCCCATCGGCAACAGCTGACATGTAGACAGCTCTGCTAAACCCGGGAAAAGCGAGAGGCAGACAGCAGTCAGACAGGAAAAAACAAGGCCTTTTAAGGGCAAAGAGATTCCCTCAGCACAGCCGCCTGGTGTCCGGGCTAGAGGATAAGAAAGGAAACTGGATCCCCTCGGATTTCCTGGCTGCCTGAGCTCACACGGTGGCCCCTCCTCCTGTGCCCAAGAGACAGTGGTGGGGTCCAGAGTGTTGAGCTGGGGGGCCCTGGGTCTCGACCCTGCCCTTAGCACCAGGTTCACCCTCGACAGTCACCCAGCCTTTGTCGCCTCCTCTGCAAAGCAGGGGCTGCCACCCCAAGCTCTGCAGGCTGGAGAAGGGCTGAATCCCAGCTAGACCACAACCGCATTTCCTAGGCCACCGCCCCTTTTAAATAAGCCCAATCCCTTTACTCACTCATATGGCACTTAAAAGTACTCCCGGCTTCTCGATATTTCTTTCTTGGCACGGGCAATGGAGGTGACAGCTTTGCCTACCTTTTCCATTTGAATGCAAAACTCTCTTATCCTACTCCTTAGTACAGCCTTAACTTTACCTGATACCCTGTCTAAATAACAGAAGTAGTGATTCTTAAGTATTTTTTATAATTTTCTGTTCTCATGGCGAGACAGAGAAAAAAGAACCCAACTTAATAATAATATCAATGTCCCTTGTTTTCATCCTTTAATCAACAGCAATCTTCATTCTGACCTCACAGCAACCCCGCAAAGCAAACAACAATAACAATAACAATAGCTGGCCCGTACTGGCACGTACCGGGCGCTACACTGTGCACCACACAGGCATTGTCTCGTTCAATCTTCAGACTCCCTCGTTTCTCAGGGACCGTCATTTGCTCCACCATCCAGGCCCACTGGATGCAGAACTGAGGCTCAGGCTAAATTTGCCCGAGGTCAAACAACTAGTAAACGGCAAAACTAAGATTCAGACCAGCGTTCGTCTAGGGTCCAAGCTCTTCATCACCGTGCTGGGATGAACAATTCCTGCCCATTTTCCAGCTGTGGAGATGGGTTCAAAGGGTTGAATGGCCCCAAGTAGAGTTAACAGTAGTAGTAGTAAGAGCAAAAAGAACAAGGGCTTCCGAGTCAGACAAACCTGGGCTTGATCCTGGCCTAGCCCCTTCCTAGCTAGCAGATCTGGGCAACTCATTTAATCCAGCTCTATTGGGAGTCTATATCCCATGAAACAGAATGTATATTTTTGGGTAGTTCTTAACATTTTGGAGATCACAAATCCTTTTGGAAATCTGATGAAAGCTATGGATCATCTTCCCAGAAAGAGATATGATCCCACAGAACCCTGTGTATAATTTCAGGGGATTTGTGGATCCTTTGAAACCCACCCATGCACCCTTAGACTCTGCGGTCCCCAACACTAGAGATACAGGTTGATCCTTGCAACTCCCTATGAACCGACCATGGGCAATCTCTCGACGCTGGGGATGCTGCTGTTCGTGGGTGACATGAGCTCCTTGGAGACAGGAAGGCACAGGTGCAAACAACCCACAGGGGCAATGGCTTACTCCTTCTCTACAAGGGAAGGGGTTAAAGCCCAGCACTCAGGCTGCCCTGAGCAGAGCTAGGGTCAAACTTGCAAAGTTCTGGAATCCACATGTCAGGAAGTTGTCTCCCTCCCCTCTCCCCATCATGCCCAGCAGCCGCCTTACCTTCCCAGCACCGATCACCTTCTCCGCAGCGTAGACTGCCTGGGTGCATCGGGGACAGCGCTCGGAGCCGCCAATCTTCTGGGCAAACTTGGAGGCATTGGGGTTGGTGGTGGGCCTGTGGCCAGGGGCCCTGCACGGAGAAGGTGAGATGACTTAGACTGAGAAATACGGCTGGGGCTGGCGCTGCGAGGGCGTGAGCCTACCTTCTTCTCATGCCAGGGCAAGGAGCAGCTCTCTCTACCCGAGTTACAAAGGTTAGGGCCGCCAGGGCCTCCAGGGTCATCTCCCATTTTACAGCTGGACAAACCAAGGCTCAGCACAATGTTATCTCCACTGAAACATCATACTTCCCTCAGTCACCGCATTTAAACGCTGGAATCATTTGACACCTCATTTGCTAAGAATCGCCCTCCTCTGCCCCTCATTCCTGTAGCTGGTCTATTACACATTCCTTCCAGGAGAAATCTGCTGACAAATCATTCCCACTGGGGCAATGACCTTGGCTGAAACTTGATAACTCAGCCGTCATTTCCGTCCATCCCCTAGGGCCGAGGAGTTGGCCAGGCTGATCACCAATAGCCACTGTTTACCGCAGGTCAGTGGCCGGGGGTGCCATGGGGTGGGGATCAGGGGACTCAGTGACACCCTGTGGCATTTCCAAGGGAAATGACTTCCCCATAGCAGGGGTGAGAGGTAGCAGGGCTGCGAGCCAGGCTGGTGTGGCCACTGTGCTGCCCTGGTCTGGCTCAGACACTCCCTAGCTGTGGGGCCCGGGCAGGCCACTGAGCCTGCGCTGGATTTTCTCCTCTGTAAAAAGAGGAAATTGGACGAAGTAATTCTGAGGGCCCCCGCAGCTCTGAACTGTATGCAAATGCAGGATGCGCTCAGTGCAGAGAGGAGCCTGTTTCAGTACCGCCGGAACCCCAGCTCCCCCAGCAGCCTGATGCATAGGGGGTACTCTGTGACTACCTTTTAGATAAATGGCTTTCTGAGCCCTCCACTGCTTAACCAAAAGTGGTTGAAAACGTGTCCGATATGGGAGCAGGGGGTGAGAAAGTAAGAAACGGGGCGGAGGGGTCTTTACTCACTCCTCGTGTTTGATGCCCAGCGACTCCCCCTTGTCGGTGCTCAGCGTGCCTGCACCCTGCCCGTAGCCGTAGCCTTTTGGCCCATACTTCTTGCCGTAGCAGGATTTGCAGTAGATCTCCTCACCGTGCACGGCCACGGTGGTGCTGTCCAGGTTCTTCTTGCAGACCACTGCAGAGGGAAGCAGGTACGGTGCGTTGAAGCTGGGGTGGGCTGCTGGCGCACTGCAAGCCCCCTGCAGCAGCAGCTCTCTGGGCACTTAGCATACAGAGTCCGCGATCTTTCAGAAACAGTCCAGAAATGGAGGCAGGTAGGGTGGCCGATGGGCTGGAGGACAGAGGGATGGCAGCTGCATGTCGGACTCCAGAATGCTGGCCAAGCAACCTCTAGGAATCCGTGTGTGTCTCCCTCAGTCCTCTGCAGCCCTGTACTTCCTCGGGCTGCAGTGCACCCCAAGTTCAGAAGCAACAGCCTAGGCTAACCCTAAGCCACGGGACACCTGTTGAGGTTCTTTGCCCTTGACAGAGACCATGTACCCCAACAGGAGAATCAAGAGAGGAAGGAAGAAGGACAGGGTTGTCCTGCCTCCGACACTGGAATCCAGAAGAGACGATCTGTGCATGCTGGGGAGGTGAGGCGGAGAGATGCAGGTAAAGGGAGACACCCAAAAGAAAAGTTTAACATTTACTAGATGTCACACATGATGGGCTTCGACATGAGATGCAGGTCATGCTAATCACAAATGGATTTGAAGTTTCTAATCTCAGAAATCATTTTGCCACAGGAAGAAATAGGGTAGACACTGGGAGGAATTTCCTGACTCCCGGAGTAAGAGGGACTGGAATGGGATGAGCTAGAGGCCTGTGGGCCTCATACACCTTCGGGTTAATCGCAGAGGGGAGCTGTGCCCGGCTATCCGGAGAAAAACAGTTGAGAGCCTGGGATCGTGGAGAGTTCGACTGCCCAGAATCAAATCCCAGCTCTCTCCCTTTCCAGCTGTGTGATCTCGGGCAAATTATTTTGCCTTTCCAGCCTTTGTCCTCGTTTGTAAATGCAGATAATAATGTCTGCCCCAGAAGGCGGTTGTAAGAATCAAATAAGATCTTACAGGTGAACTACTTAGCGCAATACCCTGCACACAATAGGTCCACAATAAATGTTGGCTACTCTAATTAGTACTGTATAAAGTTAGTATCACTGGGAGACAAGGGAGGGGAGGGACAGGCCCAGGCCTCAAGAGATCACTCCTTCTAACTCCCAAATACTCCTCTCTACTTCACCTGTCTCTTTAGGTCTCATCCGGTAGCCCTAATTTGGTTCTGTGCTATTCTATGATATTGGAGTTCAATGCGCCCTATTAGACTGCATCTCAAACACGTCCTTCGAAAGAGAGAAACCTAGGGAAGCCACTGGAGAAGCCACGCCTCTTATCTCCCTCACAGACGGCTCTCAGCTCAGCTCCTTGCCACTGCCATTCTCTTGCCTTTAAAGGGTCCAGGCCTCTGCCAGCTTCCCTCTCACCCTGAGCCCCAGGTTGGAGACTTCGGACTAAATAAGGACCCTCTTGTCCTGCCCTGGAGATCTCCATCTCATTCCAGCACTCTGGGCTGCCCAAATATGGAACTTCCCACCACGTCCCATGGGGCTTGGCTCCCGGGAAGAAGGGAGAGGGAACAACAGGCCAAGGGCTCTGACATTCCCTTCTAGGGTGGGAAGTCAGGAATAGGCCTGGAATTGTTTCCTTGTACGACCTGAAATGAACTGGGAATTCCAAGACCAGGGGCAAGGCAGAAAGTGGAGATGAGAGGGGCTGGAGGAACAGACGTCTCTTTTGACTGGTTTCTCCAGCAGGAGACCCAGGAACGGAGCCCAGAGGAGACATCAGGGCCTACAAGTTGAAGCTTCCATGTGGCTCCCCTGCTGAAGAGCTCCCTGCTGCCTTCTGCTCTGCCTCGGCCTCCTGTTCCCCAGAGGCCCAGTCCTCCCACGCTGGCCCTCTGCCCCTCCACCCAAGTGATGTAGCTGGGGACCCTCAACTCGCTCGTAAGGCCCACCAAAGACTCAGTCAAGGGCAATTTTGAAAGAAGGCCTGAATAAATTTCTACCAAATCATGGTAAGCCAAAAAAAGACTGGATTCGTTATCGCATTTGTTGGGAAAATCTACTTCCAGATGTCCCCTGTCCTGGTGGGGCCTCGTGATGCTGTTTGGAAATACAGAGAAGAGGCTGCCCCAGGGGAGAGGTCAGAGCCCCCTCGCCCCACCTGAAAGTGAAGAGTGATCCTCTCTGCTTCTAGAAGGAAAACCGAGACCCACAGAAAAGCTCAAGCACACACAATTGGCCGCAAGCAGGGCCAGGCCAGAACCAGCCGGACTTCCAGACCTGGTTGCTCTCCGCCAGCCCATGGCTCCTCTCCGCCAGCCCATGGCTCCTCTCGAGTAGGCTGAGCACGTGGGGTGGGAGGGCGAAAACCCACAGGAAGCCTCGGCCTGGAAACACTGTGTCAGGGGCGTGCGGGGCTCCCGTGAGCTTCCCCTGTGCTAGGGGATCCTGGGAAGCGGCCCAGGGCCAACCCTCCAGCCCTGTCCTGTCAGCCTCCACCACAGGGTTAGGACGGAGCCGCTCTTCTTTTCCACAGGCTGGCTGCTCAACCCTGACCTGCCCGAGGAGGGAGCTGGTTGCAGCTCAGAGGTGGACACACAGCCTCAGGACAGGTTCCCAGCCTCAGAGCTGAGCTCTCCTACCAGCCTCTGACCCACTGGCTGCTAATGGGAACTGGCAGCCCCACTGAGACCATGGGAGTGCACTGCAGGCCTGCCCACTCCCTGCTCCCGGGTCAAAGGCCATGCCAGGGTGCAGGTGGTTCTCCCCTGACTATGCCTAGTACATTGTCCTGTCTTCCTCATGCCCATCCAGACCTTCGGGGAAGGGGCACTAGGTAGAATCCAGGCCAAGGACCCACATGGTCAGAAGAACTTTTGGGGACCCACCCAGGCCCAGCCAACAAGGGAAATGGCCCTTACTGTCCCCAGGCCCAGACCCTGCTAGCTGCTTTCCCTTAGGAGGAAAAGTCCTTTGGTGCTGTGGGTGGCCCTGAATTCAAGCTGGGTATTTACCACCCACTGCACTGAAAAAGAGAAACAATGCTCCCTCCGCTCATAAACAAACCTTTGCCAAGAAGCCACCATGTGGCAGGCCCTGTTCTAGGCACTAGAAATAAGCAAGGTGTGGATACCTCAGACTGCTGGGACGCGTGCGGTGCTAAGGGGCCCACTTGGAGCTCTGACACCCAGGAACTGCACTGGCCCTGAGACCCCAGAGAGAGCGAGACTGTTCCCCATGGCGTTATTACATAACACCCTCCCGGCCCTGCTCCCCAGCCTGACTCTCTGCACAGCCTGCCCCAGGCCCCGCTCCTTCCTTCCTATGCCACCCCCTGCATTCCTGACTTCCCTGACCAGTGACTCCTCCTCCCCGCTAAGCAGGACTGCAGGCCGGGCTCTCACCACAGCTGGCCCCTTTCAGGCGATGGTTAAGCAACATTTGACAGCAGAGAGAGGCCCTTAGGACCTCAGCAGCCTGGACCTTCTTCCCAGCCAGTGCCAAGTCCTCTCTTTTGCCTTGTGAAAACATAAACGGCTTGAAAATTTTTAAGTGCAGTGAACTGCTGATAACAAGACGCTGCAATTTCCGGCCTCCATTGCAGGCTGGAAGCCAAGAAAGCTCCGGCAAACCCTGTTTACTCTCCTTCACCAGACTCAGTGCTGGGGCTGTCTCTCTGGCTGGGCTGGGCGGCGGTGGGGCCTGCTGCCCTGTGCTGGGTGGCTTCAGGCCGGGCTGCCCAGCAACAGGTAGAGACACGGGGAACACGCAGTGAACAGGTGGGCCGTGGCTCATCTGGGTCCTACTCCGGAGCACAAGTCACCTGGGACAAAGGAAGCTCAGATCTCCCGACTTGGCTTCCTGCGATGCGGGATGGACAGGACCTGCTCTCCAGGTGGGCTGGGGCTTCAGCCCCAGGGAGGTCTT